TATGTTAATAGTGTTTCCTGATGGCAGATGGCAGATTTTTTTTTTTTTAAAAAGTATAGTAGCACCACCATATCTGATACCAAAAACCATGGAAAATAGCAAACACTATCCATAGCATGGTCTCTGATTCCCTCTAGTGACCAGTTCTGGTAACTACATTGTGGAGATACATCTTTTGGGGATTTTTCTTTTAATATTTTTAATATTTTCAGACCACAGATAAGAAAAATCATGGATACCGATCCCATGGGTACAGGGATAACTACTTTACCGTGACTTTACATTAAGAATTTGTGTTTCTTGCAGCTTTAATTGAGGTAGAAGACCCACACTGAGTAGACTGTAAAAATCTCTCTCTTGTGTTTTTGTTTTGATAAATGAGGGAACCCCTTGAATTGCTTGCTTTGAGTTTTCAAGTGTCATGCATTTTTTTTTAAAAAAACTGTCTTTTGCTGGTAAGGTATCTGGATCTGAGGATAAAAGGAGTGTAATCTATTTGTCTAGACCAGCTCCAGAAGCTTTTCTGTGCTCAGATTTTGCCTGGCAGTGAAAGAAGGGAGCCAGACTCCTAACATGGCATGCCAAACAACCTGGCATTGCCAAGGCCAAGGCCATATCCCCTTTTCCCTCCCAAAGTGCTCTTCTATGTTTGGGAGCAGGAACTAGGAAGCCCACATAGTAAAATGTTTGAAACATGGGAAGTTAAAGTGTGCCTTACTTTCTTTTGCTCAGATAGGTCCAGGAAAGGCGACTATAGCTGAAATGTCCATAGTTCCTTCTGAATTATCCATTGACTTCTTAATGCCAACATGAATTCCTTCTGAAAAGAGCTTTTGAATGGATAGTTGACAAGAGCACTGGTTGTTGCATTATAAGGCATTAAAGGCATTTTTGTTTGCAGTGTCGTGATAAATGTGCAGTCAATTAAATATTCAGAATGGGGAGTCAAATCCACATAGAAATATCAGAAGCAAAAACGGCAAGTAGTGATGAGTGGGCAAACTTTTGCTAGGGGACACTGGCAAGAAAGAATGGTCTTGGAGGTTAGTAAAAGAATATTTTAACATTTGCAGCAAAGAATCTTGGAACACTTTAAAGAGTAACAAGTTTTATTTGGCACAAGTGTTCCTAGACTGGAGGCGTGGGATCTCTGCGTCCACAAGGGTTTATGCCAAATACAACTTTGTAGTCTTTAAGACATCTTGTTGTGTTTGCTGCAACTAATAGAGATAGAAATTTAACACTTGAAGTTACTGTTTCTTAATTTTGCCTGACTTGCAATAAACCAAATGGACAATCACCTTTGGAAAGAATTAGAGAGCTCTTCAGGTTCAATGTGGTCGTGGCCGAGTGGAATGTTTTCTTGTCCATGTTTGCCCAGAAGTGGGAAGGGAGCTGCAGATGGGTTCCTCTGGCAAGCGTTGTTGTGTGTATTGAGGTCCATATACCTAGCTAAGAAGAAGTTTAACAGATTTTCTTTCCAAAAATACAAGACATTGCTTTCTTCTGCTTGTTCTTTTTATTTCTTGATACAGTCCTTTTTAACAATGGCTACAGCAAGGAGCAGAAGATACATAACATTATCGCTCTGGCTCAACGTGCAGCTCTCTGGCCAAAAAAGGTGTTGCTGCCACCAAAAATGTTATCCTGTCTCCTCCCCCCCCCCCCCCCCGGGTACTGCTCCTATTCCCTCACATAACCCGTATTAATGAAATGTGTGATGACTTGTGTCATTCTCATTCATGTATTCACACAAATGAACACACTGCATTCTCCGGCGGCCATGATGCAGGCATTGAGATGCTCACAAAGAGTAATAAAGTCACATGGTCAAAACTACACACGGTTGAAAAGCAGAGGTACTGTAGCTCTGGTTTGTGTGGCAATTGCCAATTTCGGATAATGCTTCTTCATGCCCTTAGGGGCCATAACTTTAAAGACCTTTGAAAGTGGAAATATTCCTTTAGTAACCACTGGACATTTGCAGTATAGATCTGCTCAGCAAGAAGACTCTGAAAACTTCAGCAGAGATTTTGGTGCCTCTTTCTCTGGTGCTATTTTATTACTCTGTTTGTACATAATGAAGGTATTTGTTTTTCCAATTGCTGGCCCTTCTTATTCCATGTATGTCCACTGGGCCATGCTTTTACCCTTTGTAGATCATCCTTTAGAAGCACAGATTTCAGATTGTTGAATTCAATTTTTAAAAATACACTAGGATTTCAGGAACTTTATATGTAATCTCCATCCAAGAATCATGTGATCAGATTATGAGTGGAGTGGATTACTGTTTTACAATTTGAAATTAGTCCAAAGGGTGACTATTTCAACCTGTTTTTTTTTTCAAATGCTTTAAAATATGTTACTGCCTGTTTAAAGATACAGTACCCCTTCCCAGGAGATTTTGCTTATGCCGGACAGTGTTCATGTTGATGCTTCCAGGTTCAGCATATTCATGAGACTTCTGTTTGTGCTGCAAACTTAAAATTAGTCTGAATGTTTTCAGAAGGGGATACCCATAGAGCTACAGAGATGCTCCTGTGTGAGAACTTGATCTTATGTTTATAATTGTGCATTATTTGTTTTTGAGATTGGGAGGGGGGAACAGTGCCACAAAATATTCCCAGTTGGTATTAGGGGAATGCTCCTTGGTCAGTGTGACATGTCACCTTGGTCATATTTGTAATCTCTGGCCTGGGTGTGATTTACCCCACCTGGAGATATCCAGTGTCAGCATTTTGTCATCTTACTGACAAAGTATTGGTACTCTACAGGTAGACACACACGTAGCCTTGATTGAGTGGAAGAGTACCAGAACAGATAAACCTGAATTGTTCCCTTTGTTCAGCAAAGTGATACACCTTGAAGCCTCTGTGTGATCTTTTGCAAATTAGCTTTCTAACATAGTGTGGCACTTTAAGTAGGTTGTTTTAAGCACCCTGATGTCCCGTCTTCTTTTCCCTCATGCACTTTAAGCTCTGTGGCTGTTGTTAGCTGTTAGAGATAGGAAGGAGGGTTGATTAGGACGGAATGGGTAATGGCAATATTAATACTAGCCTATCACTGATGTATTCTGCATCTCTAGAGGAAAAGGTATTGCATGCTCTCTCTCTCTTTCTCTCTCTCTCTCTCTCTCAGCACAACACAATGGTCAGTAGTGTAAAATAGGATGATGGCTGAGATCCAGTAGTAAGTCACAACTTGATCCTCATGGATTCAATGAACCTACTCTAGCTGCAGCTTACCACCAGATTTCTCCTGATCTGTATACTACCCCTTTAATCTAGATATATGGCACTTAGAAGGTCAGCCTGCAGTGGCTTTTCTGAAGTGTGAAAAACCTCCTCCCTTATTGCAGTTGGTTTCCTTTGCAGAGTAGAATGGGCTGTTTGTACCTCAAGCCGAACTATAGTTAAAAAGACAGCCACTGAGCCACAACAGAGTGGAGTAGAGACTACTAACATCTGCAGCACAAAGAACCCTGGGTTTTAAAGAAGAATGGCCTACATTTCTGCAGAACTGAAATAATGCAAGTTTTATGTTTCCTCAGATGCATCCCTTCCAGACTGTCTCCCTCAATATATCTCTTGCTAGGAGAGACTGCAAGCTTGGCTTCTATTGACTAATAAATGGCTGCCATCATTTTCAGTGCTGTTAGTCAAGCGAGGCACATGTAGATACAGCTCTCTCAGAGTGTGCTATATTACTACCATAGATCCATGCATTGAAGTGCGTTTGACGGTTTCAAAAATGTCAGCAGTAGCAGGATGTCTATTGAGAAATACACTGACCGGTATTTGGCTAGGTGGCATTTATTCCCACTTACTCTGTTGTGGGGCGGTGGATCTAATGTGTGGGAATTGGAGGAGAGTGTGGTTCAGAATTGATTGCCTTTACTGAGAAGTTTTCCTATTTGATTTTTGTCCACCCTAGTTGTTAAAATGTTTTTTTTTCTTTCAAATGCTTGTGTTTTTCTTTCTTCCGCAGGGACCCTGATATTCTTTCCTCACCCTTTCCCTCTTAAAAACCAATTACCTATCATCTGTGAATTTGAAACAGATAAGATTTACAATTATTTCTTTTCTGTTGGAAGGCTGAAATGTCCTACTGTACTTCTTTTTTAGTGGTGTTATGTTGTATTTGCAAATAAGAGGTTTCATACTGTACTTCAGTTTTGTGGCAGGCTGACACATTATCCAGCAATTTACAAACATTTGGTAACAAAACTGCCCAGTTTTATTTAACAAAACCTGGGTTTTTTCATCTTTTTATTCTCCCATGATCTTCATGCACACAGAGTGGGGAAGACAGGGAGGGGTGTTGTTTTGTGTGGGGGAAGAAAACAAAATATAACAGTTAAAATAATGACTTGTACAAACTTATTTAAAGCAGTTTAGCAAAAAAGAAGAAGAAGCTCTTATTGAACAGCTTTAAAAATGTGAAAACTAAGCAACTTTGGTTAGGACTGAAAAAATTCTATAAATGTATACTTGAAATTCTGTTTGTATTTTAAAACAAATGCATTTTTCTTTAACACTGTGTAAAAGAAATGTTATGCATGTGAGTGGTTTGAGAATTAAATGGTTTAATATTCTAAGCTGAAAGACCCTGTCATTTTTGTTTGTCTCTCTCCAACCCTATCTTCACTGGACCACTAAGACAGTCTTCCCCAGGTTTTATTCTGACGGGATCTCATATTTCTGGACAGCATGCTGTGCTAGTCCTGTGGCATACTTAGCCTTCGCAGTCACAGGCTCAATTTGCATTGCTAAAGCCTGGCAGAACTAAATGCATTTCACCAACCGTGGACTGCCAGAAGTTCTGATCTTCCAGAACGCAAAGGTTAGGCACTGAATGGTGGCCTATGTTTGCCTTAGTAGGTCTGAGCAGACCTACCTCTCAGCTCAACGCCTGTCCTACCTGGTTGTACGAAGACAGAATAGACCGGAGCCTGAAGAGAGTTTTCTAAAACCACAATCATGCATATAAAACATAATAAATAGGTGAGAATAATTTTTAATTGCAGTTTTCCTTCCCCTCTTCAGTAGTTCACAAAGGGCTTCAAAAAGTTGGGATGCCTATATCCAAGGCTAAATAATATCTTATTTGTTGGATCTCTAAGAATGAGTTTGCTGCCATTTAATTAATCCTACTTTTCTTTCAGACAAAATTGCATAGATTGAATGCCATACATCTCTGGAGGCTGGGCTTTGTTTTTTCGTGGATATAACTGTGTGATCCTTTGAATGGGATGTTAGGGTTTTTATTAGACATGTCTTCATTAGATATGAGCACTTCATGTTTGTATCTAGGGAATACGAATGCAAAACGCGGTACCGCAGCAATCCATTCCCGCCCCACCCCCCCGTAACCAGCCGAGTCCATTGACTGGGTTCCGTGCAGCACACGTATCCATCAACATCATCGTCATGCCAATTGCAGAAGTAGTCCCATGGGCGCATCTCCATTTCTCACAGCCAACTGCTCAGCATCTGAGCATGGAGACTCATCTTCCTGCCTCCTCACCAGAGTGGTGAGCTCTGGGGAGAAGCAAGGAAGCACTGGTGGGACTACTTCCACAATTGGTGCGATGGCAATGCTGATGGATGTGCATGCTGCACAGAGCCCAGTGAGGGGACTGGGCTGGTTCTGGAGGGTAGGAATGGTCTACTGTGGCATTTGTGCTGCATTTTGGATTCATATCCCTTGGTCTAGTCTTCATTCTGCAAAAGCATGCCCACAAATCAGAATTCTAGTTATCTATCCAACCATTTCTTTGCTATAAGTACCTTCATTTGGATGCCCCCCCCCGACTTGAGACTGGGACATCTATCATACTGCACTGCCAGTGTCCATAAACATCTGCCATAAAGAAGGTCACAGTCCTTTTGGAGACACCACTAGTTAAACAGCTCTTTCTGAGCACTGCTAGAGAGCTAGGACATCTGTTTATTTTAAATTGTTAAGATATATACCCCTGTACTTTCTTTTAACAAATGATTCTGCTTGTAAAATTCAGAGCTTTTAAACAGAAAGGTTGGCAAACAGTAATTGCAGATAGAAATAGAAAAATGTAAAGGTTGGAGTAAGCACACGTGGCTGATGCAAATGATTTATCTTGAAAGCTAATGATTTGTCCCTAACAAATATTCTTGCAAGTCCCATTCTTGCTGGACTGTAAAATTCCAGCAGCTAGCAGCCAAGATCAAGGGATGGCACAATGTGGCCCTTCAAATATTGTTGGATTGCAACTCTCAGCATTCCTCACCATCACCTGTTTTGGCTATGGCTGATGGGAAATGCAGCCCAGCAACAATGGAAAGCCCACTGTGCCCACACTGAGCAAAACTGTCTGATAGCAACAAAAGAAAGAAAAGGGGAAAAAAAGATGAGATTTTGGCAAGGTTTACATTCACTGAGTATGGGCACAATGCACCAGAGATACAGGAATGGTGTTTTATTAGCTAGGCATTAAAACGTGCAGAGTTGGTTCAGCAATAGGAGTCTAAAACCATCACCACAATAACAGACGTTTTAAGAGCAAGGATCAGCAACTCTGCCCATGAACAGGATAGAGTTGATGGCAGCTTCACATATAAGCACCAGGAAAGGTTTGTTGGCTTTGAAGACGTGTTTGTTCAAAGGAAATGAACGACCTGTGATCATAACTGCTGTGGCAGCTGATGCTTCACTGCCTTCTTCATTCACCTGCCAATCAAATAAAGATGGCACACATGAAATTATGAACATACATCAAGAACCATTTTTCAAGACTAGGAGCACTAGAGACCACTGCAAAATTTGTATTATCTTCCTCAGTGCTGAAATTTGACCCTTGGCCTCTAGCTGCTGATCTGCTGTTCTGTGAAGTTTCTTGACACAGATTCTCCTTCTTGATAAGGTGCTTTTAGTAAGGTTTGTATGAAGCTGGTTGTCCGTGTGATATCTATAAAGAGTTAGAACCCTACAGGGAAACTGTTCTAGCAGACCTGGCCCTTAATTCCAGATGTATGGGGACCTGTATCCACTGTTAAAAGCTGTTCTGAAAAGTACTGGAACAGAAGCTGAGCTGTTTTTGTGTGGTGTAATAGTTAAACCAAGACTGAGCAAATCTGGTTCAAAGGCTCGCTAATCGCTGACACCCCCCTGGGCCAACCAGTAAAAACATCTCTCACAATATGGTTGTAAGAATAAAAGGTAGCAAGAGAGAAGAATCATGAGCTTCCAAGAGGGATTAAAATAAAAGAGTGGATATTGAACGCTCCCCTGCTTTGTACCCAGTCCCTAGGGCATGGTTAAAAAGCTGTCCTGCTTGTGTTTTGAATCCCTCTGACACATCTTTGGAAGATTAAAGCTCAGCACAAAAGAAAGGAGAAGAAAAGGGATGAACCCCGGCCTGTTGGCTTACCTCAAGAGAAGCTTTGTGGAAGGCTTCAGATACATAAAGGTTTGGTTCAGATCCTGTAATTATACCTGAAGGAGAGAAGTGGACAACCTTTGAATTGACAATGTTTGTGATGCAGCAGTGTAGATCGTTACACTTTAAATGGTTAACATTCAGGGGTGTCATGAGGTCCTACATTGTAGGAACTTGCAGCAACTACGTTAGAGTGCAGCAGACTAGTAAAATGAGCTTGTGGCTGTGAATTCATCATCCAAGCTTAAAAAAAAGGGGGGGGGACCGAGAATGCATTTTGTGTTCCAATAAATTCCAATTAAAACTGGATAAATTCTAGACCTGAATATAGAAGCCATTAGAACTGACTTCTATATGTCCAAATGTGCTGAAGTTTTCTTGACATGCTTAGGCAGCTGACTCATACTCTACGTCATGGGATAAAATGGCTGAAATACCACAGGAAAGAACTGAAGGCAGATCACATAACTTAGAAGGAACTGACATTTCTACTGCTGCACTTCTCTCTCACTTTAAGAAGGGGTGGAGGCTTTAGATACAATATGTCTCCTATTTATCATGCTGCCCTTTCATCCATCCCCATAAAGATTAGGACCACAAACAATGGGCGGAAAAGGACTGCAGAAGTGGGATTTTCACTTAACCCCAGTCTTTTATCCTTCTAAGGAGCCTATTCAAGCAGGGCGGGGGGGGGAGTGAAACCAACATGAAGGATATATCAGAGATCTCCTACCAACTCTACTCAGACTGAAGAAACAATCTGGATTAGTAGCTGAATGTTTCAACCTAATAAGAGAGAAGTCCAGTTGCCATGACTCAACTTCCAGATAGATATACCATATCTATGATGATATGGTGATTGGTTGGTAAGAAAGTAACTGTGGTAACAGCAACTTTGATATGCAGGTCTTTCATTTAAGTCCGTGCTGTGAAGAATGTGAGAAAGAATGTGAGAACCTCTGTCATAAAATAACAATGTACAGTAAAATGGAAGTTAATTAGATCAGCTATTTACAGTCATTGATGAACTCCCCCCACCACAAGCTTTCCTTTGGAATCAGTTGCAATATTGTTTGAGGAATGTCCTGGTAAATTAAAGGGATCTGAAACTGTGTCTGATTTATGTCCATTAATTCCTTTGCATAGAAATTATCCAGGTTGTCCTATGTAGAGTGCAGATGGGCATTGTTGGCAAAAGATGGCATAAAATATGGCCATCCTTAAAAAAACACTATAGGACAAGAATCCAGAGGAAAACATCTGAGATCAAATATATATGCACACTAGACGCACACATCAATGGACTTAATATGAGCCAAGGTTTTTAGTGCACTACCAGATATAAACATTACAAATACTGTACTGTACTGTATCTCATTTTGACCAAACTCCGGGAGGCAGTGGAAGACAGGAGGGCCTGGCGTGCTCTGGTGCATGGCGTCACGAAGAGTGGGACACGACTTAACGACTAAACAACAACAACCTCATCTCATAGATATTTTTCTCCTTTAACAGATCCACCTTAGAAATTCCAAAGGTAACAGATCTTGTGGTCACCCATTGACTGGGGTGATTCACATGCTATTGCAACTGATTACGAAGGAAAGCTTGTAAGGAGGGAAAGTTCATCAACTACTGCAAATAGCCAATCTGATTAACATTCATGTCACTCTACAGTTGTTATTCTATGACAGAGGTTCTCCCATTGTTTACAGCATAGGCTTCAATGAAAGGCCTGCATCTCAAAGGAAGGAAATCTATCTATGTTCAATTCCAGCCAGTTGGGTAACCATCAACTGCACAGGAGCCTTCCATGAAATAAACCAGGGACCCTGCTCTGCATGTGTGTCAATGTCAGAAGAGATTAACAATATTATCAACCCTCCTCTCCCAGCACACATATAAGAGATACTGGGCTGTTTGTAAGTTTGTGGCATATGTATTCTCTAGATAGAATAAAAGCTTATAAAAAGTGGAGGACTCTCTTGCAGGCTGTGTTTGAAAATGACTATATCTTACACCAGCTGGAACCCAGTTTCAGAAATTGATGTGCCTCAAAACAACTATATTATTTACAACATTTTGTTAATATGAAGAGTACAGTTTATAGAAATGGGCTGCTAAAGGGCACACAAGTGACTAGGATTAGAGATGGGGGTATTCATATTCATATACGAATATCCCCCCACAGATGCAGGTAACGAGGGTAAATGTAGAGTAAAATGGATGTTAATTAGATCTGCTATTTCGCCGCTGCTGCGAGCTCCATGGTCCCTTCCTATCTCTCCGTTGCTCCTGATGGATTAGCCACTCTGTGACCTGGCAGAGAGGCTCGTCATCCCGCCTTCTGCCAGGAGTGGCTAATCCATTGCGAGCAATGGAGAGATAGAAAGGCTCCACGGAGCCAGCAGTGGCAGCAAAATCGTGAATGGACAGTCACCCTCGTTATCTGCACCTGTGGGGGGGGGAGAAATATTCGTATTCGTATACAAATACTACCCCCATTTCTAACTAGGATATATCTTTTCACAGTGTTGTAAAGTGAATACAGAGCCCTCTTGTTAAAAGAGTGGTATCCTCTGCTGCAAAGCAAGAACTGAAAGTGGTTCTAACTGATAAACGTTAGAGTCCCTCTAGTATTCTCTGAAGCATCGAGACATCAGGATTTTCACATTTAATTGAATTGTACCCTTTCGCATTTGACAGGAGTCCTCAAGTTGTTTACACTGACTTGGATCATTCTACAAGCCCTTCTTTGTTGTAAATAAGGGCCCACCCCACCCTGACCCTATCCCTATTAACATCCGGAACATTAACAAAATATTCACCAACTTTTTTTTGAATCTTTCTTCCTATGCTTTGCCCAGCAATTCAGATATTGGCATAGTTTAGCATAATAAATTGCACTAGAACAGGCCCATTGAACCAATGGAGATGTAGTGAATTAACTCCTCTGTAAGTTCCATGGGCCTACTCTTACTGCAACTTACTATGCTAAGGAAAATTGCAGTTGAAATAGGCTCCTTTGAATCAATAAAACTTTTGGAGGAGATGATTCACCCAATGGACCTACTCCAGTGCAATTTACTGAACCAAGCAATAGGATTTTGGCTACTGATTAATTATGGCTCAAAGCAAGCTGTGAAAAATTAACAGAAGAGCATAAACTAAAGATTAACCAATCTGTTGAAACTGTTGAGATGCACAGAGACTTTAAAAGATTTATATCATTAAAAGCTGCTAGACTTGGAGGCCTTAATGGATCTTTAAAAGCTTTAAAGATCAAATTAAGCTTATTCTCCTGACTCTTCAACTCACATAGGAAGATAACCCTTCACCCCATTCCTGGCAGTTGTCCTGTGCTATTCTGATTGAGAAACAAGGCAAAAACAAAGAGGCTGATTCCTACAGTCTCATAATCCAGATAAACGAAGATGCAAAATTTTTCTCAGAGGTTATATCAAATAGGTTGGGGGAAATTATAGGAGATTAAATGGAAGAAAAGCAGTTTGGTTCTAGTAGAAACAACATATTACCAATCACATTTAAAAGCTTCTTAATTTTGTTATATTAAATGGGATACATTTATTTTTGCTGCAGTGGTAAACTACCCTAATTGCTCTAGATTGTTATTGTTACATGTCATGTTCAGCTCTTGAGAAACTCAACTCTATAGTTTCCTTTAGACAGTCATGCCATCTCATATTTGGTCTTCCTCTTTTCCAGCTGTCTTTAACCTCTCCCACCATTACTGTATTTTCAAAAGGATCCTGTTTTCTCATGCTGTGTCCGAAGTAGGGCAGTCTCAACGTCAACATTTTTGTCTCCCGAGATTATTGTTCAGACTCTATTTGATCTAGGACTCACTGGGTCGTCTTTCTAGTACAGGGTCTTCTCAAAGAGTAATCTCCCCTAACCTATTTGATGTAACCTCTGAGAACAATTTAGCATCTTTGTTTATCTGCATTATCAGGCAGTAGGAATCAATCTATTTGTTTTGCCTTGTTTCGCAATCAGAATAGCACAGGACAGTTGCCACAAATGGGGTGAAGGGTTATCCTCCTATGTAAGTTGAAAGAGTCAGGATAATAAGCTTAATTTCATCTTTAGGGGGTTTTTTTGTTGTTGTTTTTTGCATTTTACTGGTGATGGGTTGCATGTGTTTGGCCACAGCATGAAGAATTTCATTAGGAGGGCTTTAAACTGAATTGGAAGGGGGAGGGAGACACAAAATCAGAAGTAAAGACAGATGAAGGCAAATGTACAACAAGAGGAACAGGGTGAGCAGCCCTAATAGGCCCAATAATAATCTTAATTAAAATGTAGAAAGGGAAGCAGGCCACAAATCACACTATCTCTGATGTCTATGAACAAATGCCAGAGGCATGAGAAATGAACAAGAAGATCAACTGATCGGCAGCCAGTAGGCAGAATTCATCCAGTACAAAGGATGAATGAAAACAGGTAAATATTTGTCCCTTCATATTCATGGGGGGTCTCTGGAACCCACAAATATAGATCAACGAATATTTAACAAATTGGCTATATTCATCAGAAAAAGCAATCCGTTTTTATATTCGTCTCCATCTCTAATCCTGATCTATTGGGAGACAAATTCTGAGAAATATGGTGGATAATTTTCTCCTACAAAAAGTGGTAGTAGAAATTAAATGAGTAACTATCCTGGACTTCCTCCTAACCAACACAGATGGTTTGGTGGAAGAAGTGGCAGCAAAAGGAGCTATGGGGGAAAGTGACCATGTTCTACTTGAGTTCATGATTCCAAAGGGAAAGCCAATTTTAATAAACTCAGAATAATGATAGGTAAGGTCCCATGGCAGGAAATCCTAACAGGAAAAAGAGTCCAAGATGGGTGGGAGCTTCTCAAAAATGAAATTCTAAAGGCACAACTATAAACAATTGCAACAAGAGAAAAGGGTGGAAGACAATAATATTAAAAAAGAGACCAATGTGGCTTTACAAAAAGCACAGGGAGGACCTCAAAACAAAACAAAACAAAACAAAACAAAACAAAACAGACACTTATGGGATGTGG